ACCAGCCCAGCTAGTCCCCGCCTCCCTAACCATTTCTCCCACCTCAAGCCCCACCCCCATCTCCTACCCACTAACCTCATCCTGCCTCCTTGACCTGTCCGTCCTCCCTGGACCGACCTATCCCCTCCCTAACTCCCTACCTACATTCACCTTCACTGACTCCAACCTCGCCTCTTTGACCTATCTGTCTCCTCTCCACCTATCTTCTCCTTTTTCCATCTTCTATCCGCCTCCCCGTCTCTTCCTATTTATTTCAGAATCCCCTTCCCCTCCCCCATTTCTGAAGAAGGGTCTCGACCCAAAACGTCAGCTTTCCTGCTCCTCTGATGCTGCTTGGCCTGCTGTGTTCATCCAGCTCTACACCGTGTTATCTCTGACATGTAGGAGTCTTTTTAAAGGCCAGCTAATCAGAGTTCAGGACCAGCATGTTCCTGTGAGGATGAAAGGTAAGGAAGGTAAGATTTGTGAACGTTGGATGACAAGAGATGTACTTTTAGTTGAAAAGAAAAAGAAAGCATGTCAGGTTTAGGAAACAGAAATTGGGCAAAGCCCTTGAGTATTATAAAGGAAGCAGAAAAGAGCTGGAAAGAGAAATTAGGAGGGTTAGAAGGGGCCATGAAATGTCCTTGGCGAGTAGGGTTAAGGAGAATCCTAAGGATTCTCATTGTATATATGTTAAGAGCAAGGGGGTAACTACAGATAGGGTATGTCCACTCAATGACATTGGAGGGATTTTGTATTTGGAGCCAGAGGAAATGGGTGAGGTGCTTGATGAGTACTTCGTATCGGTACACACCAAGGAGAAAGCCATAGATGATGGTAATATTACAGAGGGGTTTGTTGATACTCTAAGGCATGTCAGTGTTAAGGAAGAGGAGGAATTGGGTGTCTTGACTAACATTTAATTAGTCAGGTTCCCACGGCCTGATGAGATCTATCTCAGGAAACTGAAGGAGGCAAGAGAGGATATTGCTGAGGCCTTGACAGAGATCTTTGTATCCTCTTTAGCCACACATAGTAATGAATGAAGACTGGAGAATAGCTAATATTGTTCCTTTGTTCAAGAAGGGTAACAGGGATTATCCAGGAAATTGTAGGCTGATGTGCTTTACATCAGTGGTAGGAAAACTATTGGAGAAGAGTCTTAGGGCAGGATTTACTCGTGTTTGGAGAAGAATGGACTTGTTAGGGATAGTCAGCATGGCTTTATGCATGGGAGGTCTTGTTTCACAAACTTGATTGAGTTTTTCGAGGAAGTGAAGATGATGATTGAGGGTAAAGCAGTGGATGTTGTCTACATGGATTTTACTAAAGCATTTGACAAAGTCTCTCATGGTAAGCTGGCCCAGAAGTTCAAATCTCATGGAATTCAGGTAGTCTGATTAGCAAGCTTGCAGATTGCGTGAAAATTGGAAGGATATCAAAGTATGTAGCAGAATACAGATCAGATGGAAAGTTGGGTGGAGAAATAGCATATGGCGTTTTAATTTAGACAAGTGTGAGGTGATGCATTTGGGAGGTCAAATGCAAGAGGAAAGTATACTGTAAATGGCTGGACCCTTAAGAGCTTTATAGTGTAAGAGGGATCTTGGGATCTAATAGCTCCTTGAAAATGGCAACACCACTGGATAAGGTGATAAAGAAGGCAAAAGCCGTGCTGCCTTTGTTGGTCAGGGAATTAATTATAAAAGTTGGCAAACCCTGCTGCAACTGAATAAAGCTTTGGTCAGGCACCATTTAGAGTACTGTGTGCAGTCCTGGTTGCTGCACCAGAGGAAGGATGTGGAGGCTTTGAAGACGGTGCAGAAGAGGTTTGCCTGGATTAGTGTCAGCTTTAAGGAGATATTGGACAAACTTGGATTGTTTTCCCTAGAGTGTCAGAGGCTAATGGGGCGACCTGATAGAAGTATATAAAATTGAGGCATGGACAGAGTGAATAGTCAGTCTGTTTCCCAGGATGGAAATTTCAAATACTAGGGAAAAAAGGTTTAAGGTGAGGGGGGGGTACAAGTTTAAAGGAGATATGCGAGGAAAACTCTTTACATAGAGGGTAGTAGATACCTGGAGCAGGCTGCTGGGGTGGTGGTCGAAGCAAATACGATAGCAACGTTTTAAGAAGCATTTAGACAGACATGTGAACAGGCAGGGAATAGAGGGATGCGGACCATATACAGACAGATGGGGTTAGTTTAGAATAGCTTCATGGTTGGTGCAGACATGGTAGGTTAAAGGGCCTGTTCGTGTACTATACTGTTCTATGTTCTATTACTCCTCACTGGTAGATTCAAGCTCTCTTCTGTGTTGCATGTGGGCTGATTAATTGCTACAAAAATAATTTTGCTCTGAAATGAAACATTATTTTGTGACTGTGGTTTCATTGCTGTAAATTGCTAAAAGTACTCGTGAAACCATTGCCACACAAAGCAGTAACTCTCCACTAAGTGGAAATGAAAGATTTTAAGTGCTGAACTAGTCATTCTGTGCAACACAAGATGGCCATGTATACCATATAATAACAGTTCTTGTGCTGCGACTTGCATTTGTAAGCTACTTATTGTGTTTGCACCAAATATCTCACTAAACTTCCAATCGTTGACTCGTTGATCATGATATCATTGGATGTGCATATCTTGCTGCCCCTTCAGCTGCTCACCCAATGTTCACGCAGTGCCTCTGGAACATGAATTATCATCTCTTTTTCGGTTTATTATTTGGTTTTGGGATAGATGCTACAAATTGGAACAATCTATGTCCATCTTTTTTGGTGTTTTTTTTTTCTTTGTTTATTCCTCCATTATGCCTCTCAAAAAGAGATAATTTTGTTCAATTGGAACAATTATTCTTGGGATGTTGCTGACAGTAATTATTTATCTATTGTTGACAAATTTAAAACATTTTATTTGAATTTTAGATTCACTATTTGACAGGATGGACTTTTGGACTTTGTACCTCTGAAATATTCATCTAGTATCTTAACCACTAGATAACTATATCCATATATATTCAGTATCCAATATCCCAGAACATTTCAGCGATCAGAGAAAAGTGGATAGTCTATTAAAGAAGGAAAAGTCAGAAGGGATCATCAACAATTTGATTGAAAATGTATATTTTAAATTAGTGTCTTAACTGAGGATTTCAGGAGTGGTTTATTGAGGGAATTTGAGTATGGGACCCAGGCTGCTGACAGTCCACTGACTTTGAATGACACTTGAGCAAGAGGATGTGAGGACATAGTTCAGAGGAAGAGTTCGCTGTAGGAGTTAGCAAGACTGAGGAGGGTGAAAGAGAGGGGAAATTCAAAGCTATATTGAGTATAATTTTCAGACTTCTACCCACTCATGTATTCTAATTTAGCTTTGGCCAGTACTTATTGATAGTTGATCAATTACTGCATTACAATGTAATATTTTGTGTGTAAGGGTTCAATGCCACTGGGCATTTGTTTTATTTTCCAATTTTTTTTCTGCTGCAACATTTATGACAGTTATGAAAAATGAAGATCCTCTGACTGATTCTGAGCTATTCCAATGTTCTCTAAGCTAGCTTTCTAGCTTGCACCTTTCTTTAATCTTGAAACTCATTCAAAACTCTGCTACCTGTATCCTAATTTGCACCGAGGCAGGTGATGAGAATTGGGGAAATTTCCTGGGCTGGCATTCCCATTGGCATGGGTCCATTTGGCACAAAGAAATTTTTGGCAGCCATGGAGTGGTGGATAAGAAGTGAGCTGTTAATTGGCCAGCTTTAGCACTGTGAGATGTTATAGTTGTGACAGTGAAAATATAAGGTCCTCTGACTTACCCCTCACATACCCTACTGTTCCTTAGCAGGCTGTACCCTCCTACTCTGCTATATTCCCCCAATGCTAAGCCTCATTGTGAATTCTTGAGGGATAGTCCAGAAATTCATTACTCTGTTAAATACTTGAGCACCAGAGAAAACCTTGTTTAATTCACTGATCTGTCTCTCTGATCCCTGCTGTCAATTGCACATATTTATTTACACAAGATTAAGAGGTTTAAATTGCTTACAATTCCTGGTATTAATACTTTAGAGACTCTGTCTGTCACTTCCATTGTCCTGGAGTTAAAGGATTTTTTTAACATAATGGGATGTAATAAATGAACAACATTTTGATTTAAAAAGCTTATTTTTAACAACTCATCTTGTCAGTATGGGGATTTGCTGGTTCTGTACAGAATATTACATGTCAAATGGGCATGACCGTTCCATAACTTGGTGGCAAAGGCTTTGGGATGGTGGGGCATAACCTGGCATTGGGGTGTGAGGAGGTCTTTAGAACTTGTCTTTCAAAATGTTCCCTCATGCAGACTAGGGTTCATGATGTCTCGGACATGCCATGATCCACAGCTCTTTAATAAGCTGGCCTGACTCCATGCAAATTGTAGAGGGCTATTTGTTTTGGCTGTGGAGCTGGCCAGGTTGCGAGTGCATGGTGTGTCTCATGACCTGAAGCAGTCCATATCCTCAAAAGATACTCCTGAAATTAGGGATTCTCAGAATTGGGACTAACCTGCCACTTTTTGTTTCCAAGGGCTCCTAAGACATCCCGACCTGGTCCAGGCCTAAATCCCCATATCCAGTTGATCTGTGTAGGTTCCTAGACTGGCAATGCCTTGATTTTAGAATTTTTATCTTTTTACTTTCAAGTCCATCTATGACCACAGTCTTCTACAGCAACCCTGCTTGAACTATATGCTCTTTTAATTCTTATATGTATTTATAGCAATGCTATGCTGTTGGAACCTAGTTGGTGCCCTTTGGAGAAGAATCACCTTTTATTGAGAATTTATTTCTCAGATTTTACTTGTGGTTTTCCACCTCTGTTGGATTAGAATTTGTATATGACCTGCAGAAAGAAGAGTGGTCATTGATTGATTGACCACTTCTCCTATACTATGTACTGATTGAATAGAGTGGAACTCATTTGATGAACTGGTCTGTTCTGGAAACCTAATATCTCTCTCTCTTCCCCTCCTTCGATTTCAGAATTGCCTCAGACAGACTATCTACAAGTGGCAGAAGCAACATGGTTGGCACTGAATGTTGTGTCCAATGGTCATTCATCAACCAGTTCTCAGACAATTGGAGTGACAAAGATAGCAAAATCAGTGATTGCTCCTCTAGCCCTACATAATGTTTCTGTATTCCTGTTGTCAACCTACCAGACTGACTTCATACTGGTGAGCACAAAATCTGTCTTTCTCAACATTTTGTGAAGTCTCCTGCAGCAAGTGGTACTGAATAACATCATAATCTTTAGGAAATGTGTGCTTGGGGAAACTTCAGTTTATTTATAGAGTGCAAGTGTTTCTGTCTGGTATGCAGCATCATGGTCGTGTGGTACACACAATATCAGTGTTATCTAACTTGATGCCTTGGATTCAATATGTGTTTAATACCTTCCCTGATCCGCAGCTGTTTTATGGTTACATCTGGTGCCCTTTTAGAAATTGCTGTAAAGTTTCTGATTATGGAGGATAATGATCTAGTTAGCCAACATGATATTAATGTAAATTGATTCAGGGGTGATGCTGTCTCAGGCATAAGTTTGCAAGAAATCATATTGGGATGTAGATGTGAAAATTGGCATTGAATTATTCATTCATAAATTTAAGTTTTCAATGAAAATAGAATTCATCTAAATGAAGTAGGAATTGATTAAGACTGACAAGAAAGATACTCCCATATTTATTTAAAAATCTGTTATTATGTCATAATCTGAGATAACAAGGTGTAGAGCTGGATGAACACAGCAGGCCAAGCAGCATCAGAGGAGCAGGAAAGCTGACGTTTCGGGTCTAGACCCTTCTGTCATAATCTTACGTTTTTATACATGGTCCCCTCTTTTAAACAAGGGTGTTTAATTTTGTCTGCAGCTTTAATTAGGCAACAGATGAGCTAATAAACAGTACTATAAATCTGAATATTGGTTGCGTCGCGACTTGTGCAGATTTGATACTTGGTACATATTTCCATTATAGTATATTTAATCTCAAGGCACACTACCCTCCTTGTTAAAGACCTACCTGTGAAACTGAAATTGAATGGAATTCAAGGAAGTGGTCAGGCCTAGAATGGCAAAATTGACTGGACTGTCTTGCTGTGAGAGAATTTCATAAGACGTTGACAAAATGCTCCATTTTACGTTGCAATGTAGAGAAAAAGAATGCATGTTTCTCAAATTGTATTAATTTATTATTGCTTGAGGTGTTTATTCTTGGGAATTCATCACTTTTTATATGTAATGTTGGCACCAAGCATTTTTGGGTCTGTTATAAATAAACAATTGGAACTGGTAGAACATAAGCCAGCCCACTGCACTACAATCTGTTTTGACCTCTGTATGCTGGCTACACCAAGTGAGCATCCTTAAGCTGTAAATGAGTAAACCTAACTCACTGAATTACTATGTCATGTGGTGCTGTGGGTTTACGCTTAATGAGATCTGGGATTTGAATATGTGCAAATACATTTCATTTTAGAGCCTTTAACACTTGTGTGAAGTCAGCACTGTCATCCTCTGCTTGTACATTTATATTCTCTTCAATTTGTATGGTCAGGTGCGGGAGAGTGATTTACCAGCCGTCATTCACACCCTTTCTGAAGAATTCAGTATCTTCAAGGAGGAGAATGGTGAACCAGTTCCAGTGGATAGTAACAATGTCACAAATGGCTTCATAAAACCCAAAACTGGTAAGGTAAAATGGCCTGATTTAGAGTTTCATAACTGTCGTATATCTCATGTGACTAGTGCAGGTCTCTTGTGAGACTGTCATTCAAATGTAATATCAAAGAATGTGACTAAATACATGATAACTGGATGGGGGTATGGATAAAGGGGAGCCTGTAAATGTGTGTTTTTTATTTGGTTTCCAAAAGGCATTCAGCAATATGCCATATAAAAGGCTGCTGCGTAAGATAACATGGTGTTGGAAGTGGTAAAGAAGCTGAATGAAGGATTGGCTAGTGAACAGGAAACAAAGGGTTGGGATAAATGGGTAATTTTCAGGTTGGCAAACTGTAACTAATAGAGTATAAAAGGCATCCGTGCTAGGCCTCAACTATTTGCAATCTGGATTAATGACTTGGTGAAAGGATTGACTGCCTTACAGCCAGATTTGCTGATGTTGCAAAGATAGGTAGGAAGGCAAATGGACAGCGGGACATGAAGAAACTACAAAGAGATAGAGATGGGTTATGTGAACAAAACTTTGCCAGATGGAGTATTAAATGGGGAAAACGTGAAGTTGTCCACCTTGCCAAGAAGAACAGAAATGCTGAATATCATTTAAATGGGAAGAATGACTGCAGAATGCTGTGGTACAGCAGGATCCAGATATCCTCGTATATGATTAACAAGTAATTAGGAAAGTAAATAGAATGCTGGCCTTTTATTGCAAGGAGAATGGAGGAGGGAAGTCTTGTTGCAATTATACAGGATACTGATGTGACTGTGGCTAGTATACTGAGTACAGTTCTGGTCTTTTGCAGGATATACTTGTGTTAGAGGCATTAACCATTATTGGTTGTTTCAAAAGTAAATCTGTTTCATCACTGTCCTTTTGGGGAAAGAAATCTGCCATCCTTATCTGGTCTGGCCTACATGTGGCTTCAGATCCACAGTAATGCACTTTGTTCTTAACTGCCCTCCAAAATGAGTCACTCCATTCAAGGGGCACGTAGGGATGGGCAATAAATGCTGGCTCAGCCAGAAATATTTCATGAACAAATAAAAGTTTAGAGCGAGTTTTTAATTGGGTCGATTCCTGGAATGAAGAGGTTCTTATCTGAGAGAAATCATGGTGGATGGGCCTATACTCATTTGGAGTTTAGAAGAATGAGAGATGGGTTAAATTAGGATCCCGAAGAGGCTTGATAAGTTCGATGTTGCGAGGATGTTTAGCTGCATGATAAATCTGGAACTAAAATGCACCTTTTACAAATAAGGGGCCTCCTTATTAAGTCTGAAATGAGAAATAGTTTCTTTCCTCATGGTCACAAGACTTTGGATAACTCTCTACCAGCGCAGGGAGCAGTGGAGGGTGGGTCATTTGAATATGTTGTTGTGAAGTTGGGTAGAGTATTCATGAATTGGAAAGCAGGAAGTTAGAATTTGTTGGTAAAAATGATCATGGGGAGAAGAGTGCCGTGGTCCCTTTAAGAGCTCGTGCTTTGTCTATGCTTGGAGGTTTATAAATGCAGGTGCTCAGAGTGCCTGAATGGAAACGTTTTGTAAAGAACAGCCAAGCAACTTTTTTTCCAAGGCAAGAAGTTTGAATTTGGCCAATTAACTTAAACCAAGCACCTTGATACAGTAAGCCAGTTGAATTTAAATCTGGCATTGGTTTCAGGTTGTCAATCATATTATAAGAATTAGATTGTATTTATGGGAACATAAGATGAAGGCATTTTGGAAAATCGTGGAGGGAATTCTGCCACCTGCCAGAGTTAGCACCATTGAGCTCTTGGAGAAAGCCCATCTAATTAATCAAAGGTACCACGGTATTTTAGCTTGAAGTCCTCATTGAAGAAACTATAGAGATAAAACATTCCTGACAGCAGAATTAGCAGAAGAAAGGTGTTTGTGAAGAGACTGGAGAAGACCAGAATATTCCAGTAGATAGTCGAGGCAAACTTGGAGAGATTAAGTTATAATTCATTGTCCTTTTATTAACTGGGTTTATTAAGTGGGACTTGTTCGAATAAACACAGTATTCCAGCAGAATTTAGCCTAGTTAGGAAGTAGTTAGTCTAAGGGGGAATTGTCAGTTTGTTAGCAATTCTGTTAATTTGTTCACTGTTGGGTTAAATAAATAAATTGTTTCTTGTTGCTTATAAAGTGGAGATCGGGGATTTTCTTTCTTTTAACCAGTCTTAATAAATTACGAGGGGAAAGACAAGCTTCTCTGGGTATTTTAGGGATAATTATTAGAGGGGAACACCTACTCCCGTCACAACAGATTGGGGCTTGTGTTTTAGTTTAATTATCAGAGGGGTTCACCATTTTTCCCTTCCCTAACAATGTTCAAGGTTCAACTTGAGGGATTTTTTTTATCTAAAAGGCAGTTGAGGGTTCTGAGGGACTGGCAGGAAAGTGGAGTTACATATAGATGATCTTTAGTGGAGAAGAAGGCTTGAGGGACGAAGTGGTCCACTCCAGCTCCTTTTTTTTATGAACAAAGCTTGAAGATTGAGCCTACAGTTGGAAAATTAATTTCAGTATAGATAAGTTTGAAGTGGTGCATTTTGATGGGAAGATTAAGGACACCACACTCTGCTTGAATAATGGGTGGCTGAATGGATTGGAGGAGCAGAGGAATCTTGGCGTACCAAACACAAATCACTAAAATTAACAGCACTGGTTAATAAGGCCAGTTTAAATAAAATAAGCCACCAAGCATTGGATAGAGTTGACAGGCAGAACCATTTTGTTGAACTTTTACTGAAAGTAAACCACGTGGTAGTCAGCAGAACTGAATGCAGTGTTCATGTCTCAATAGTCTTAAAAGGAACGTAGAGGCATTGATGAAGGAGTAAAAAGATTCACAAGAATGATACCAAGACCGAGAGGATCTAGGCTGAATCGGCTGAAGCACTTTTATTTAGAAAAGGGACTTGTGGATTATCTGATAAAAGGACTTTATGATGATCAGAGGAGGTGATGGCATAAATGTATAAGGAAATCTTTTCATTTGCAGCGAGGGTGCCAAAACCACAAGTCCTAAGCATATCAGAGATAGCAGGAACTGCGATGCTGGAGAATCTGAGATAACCAGGTGTAGAGCCGGATGAACACAGCAGGCCAGGCAGCATCAGAGGAGCAGGATAGCTGACGTTTCGGGTCTGGATCCTTCTTCAGAAATGGGGGAGGGGAAGGGGACTCTGAAATAAATAGAGAGAGGGGGGAGGCAGATGGAAGGTGGATAAAGGAGCAGATAAGTGGAGAGGAGACGGACAGGTCAAGGAGGTGGGGACGGAGCCAGTAAAGGTGAGTGTAGGTGGGAAGGTAGGATGGGGGTTATACGGGGAAGAAAAGATGGACAGGTCAAGGAGGCGGGGATGAGGTCGAGGGTAGGGAGATTCTGAAGCTTGTGAAGCCCACATTGAGACCATTGGGCTGCAGGGTTCCCAAGCGAAATAGGAGGTGCCGTTCCTGCAGCCTTCGGGTGGCATCGTTGTGGCACTGGAGGAGGCCCAGGATGGACATGTCGTCCAAGGAGTGGGAGGGGGAGTTGAAGTGGTTCGCGACTGGGAGGTGCACTCTGTCCTCACAGCTTTCGGTGGCAAGGAGTTCCAAAGACTCATAACCCCTCTGAGAGAAAAAATTCCTCCCCATCTCTGTCTTAAAGGAGCAACCTCTTATTCTGTGATTATGGCCCTTGGTTCTCTGGTCCCAGACGTTCCCACAAGGGAAAACAACCTTTCAAGTCCCCAAAGAAGCTTGTGTGTGTCAGTAGGCCCACTGACCATTAGCACTATGCGAACGCGAACCCCACACCACCCCACACCCCCGCCGCACAACCCCCACCTCCAGCCAACATGGCAGTAGCCAATTTGCAACCTGGACACTTGCGCAGTTAGTAACTGCCTTTACAGAAAAGTTCACCACGTCATACAGAGAAACAAAACACTGCAGATGGTTGAAGTTTGAAATAAAAACAGGAAATGCTGGAAATAATCAGCAGAGCTGGCAGGCACATGATTCATGTTGGCCACCTTTGTGGTGATATAGTGTCACTGATCTGGAACGTTAACTCTGTTTCTCTCCCCATGAAACATTGCCCGACCTGCTGAATATTTACAGCATCTTTTGTTTTGGCTTTAGGTACATTCATCCACTTGTGAATCATGGCCATGCAGTAGGGAGGTCAGGTGATGTAATTATACCATTGCAAATCACTGGTATGTTCATTGCATTGAGGTTTCCCACAGAACAAACAAATGGCTTTCTCCCTCTGAGTGCAAGACAACGTGTGACAATAACCAGAGAATTCTCCAAGGCAGTTCTCCAGGAGGTTGCTGTGATGACCTCCCCCAGCCTTAGTCAGCTCCACATGACCCCCTTCAGAGAAAGAGAATCAGATGTATAGCTGGAAATGAGGTAACAAATGCTCCCATGGATGGTGTTCCCAATCAGAGTTTGACGCACTTGAAAGTTGAATAAGGCTGGACAGACTAGATGCAGGAAGAGAATAACAAGGTGTAGAGCTGGATGAACACAGCAGGCCAAGCAG